TATTACTAGACTATCATAATATTTATACTTACATTGAATTCTTTCAATTCATGATCCGTCAATAATTCCTTAATGGGAGTTCCAGACCAGTCAGAATATGACCAGCCCAATAGAATGGATGAAATGGTAGATTTGAATTTCTAAAATATTGTATTATAATGAAATTTGGTTTATTATATGGTAATTTTCATTACTACATTTATACTTACTTTCCCTTCAATCCGGGAATTCTTTATAGTTAAGTAGCCATTTTTTACATTTATGTCAGGAAGAGGCTCTTTGATATCCATACAATAACGCCGAATACGTTTACGTAAGTATAAACTGCAATTAGCATAATTATTACAAACTACACCAAGGTATCCTATATACTAGTAACATAACTCAAAAGTTCAAATAGAAGCTACCTACTAACTACCTTATGTTTTCAATATCACTCAAATGAACGGTATGATCGCGAACTACTTTGATATGACAATTATTTTTACGGTTATATTCGGATAAATTCCTTCGGCCTTTCTCTATAAAGAAATCCCAAAAAGTTGAACTCATCTCAGCCTTAAAACCGATTATTATTGGATATCATATCAACAGCAACTCATAATATTAATTACCCGCTCGGATAGAGTAGGTATTTCCTTGATCCCCAGCCCCTTTTATCCAACCTAGGGCGTTAAAATCCTTTTCCTCAGTATATCTGAATACAAAAGTTGCAATAATGCTAGTACCGTACCCAATAATCCGTAACATTACCTAATTATTTCGGGTAAAAATTTTTTCCCCAAGATAAGAGGGGAAAGTCTCGTGGGATTCGGTAGGAACAGTATCCTAATTTGTTTGGACAGTACACTTCGATTTATTTTTGCCCTGTTGCTTAATAAGTCTCTTTGCTTGACTCACTCACTTCTCCACGCGCAAACACCTGTATCGAAAGTGTTACTAATATAGAAATAGTTGAATTTACTTATGCAAATTCATCCTTACTGCAGAATATACTCACGTTCGACATGTTTCAAACTAGGTCAGAAGTGTCCATTACGGTTAAAAATAAAAGTCACTTGGAAGCAAACCAACCAACTGAATAAAAAGAAATTCTAATGCGAGCAACTCTTGTTAAAAACAAGTTACATACGATTACAGTATATACTAAACATAAACATATTATACAACCATACCTCAATCAAAGCTTCGGGTAACCACGCAATAGATAATAAACGGTATTACCAGGACTAACAGGAATGATACGGATACTCCCTGAAAAGAAGGGTTCAAAACTAAGCTAGTATAGATTTGAAGATACAAATTTCTCTCAATTATGAACCTAAAATATGTACAGAAGTTAACTTAATTTTTACATACTCATAGTACTTACGTGTAACACGTTGCAACCTGTTCAGTATAGTAATAGAAGCTTAAACCAGCTTCAACACGTTCGGCAACAACAGAAAAAGCAACTTATCAAACCTGAAATTCATAATTTACTTTACACTTCTACTGTATAGAACAATTTCCAAAAATCAGTCCATTAAAGTAATAAGGTTAACAAGTTGTTGTCTAAGTAAACAGTACGGCAAACAATAATCATAATAACTCTAATTGTAGTACCCTTCTACTGTCTATTGTTACGAAAGTGACGTGTGATTTAAATATTCTCCACGTTCATAATACTAATAAAATTTATGTAACAATAATGTATTTATAAATAAAAGCATACCTTAACGATAAGTGCCAGAAGAAAGCTAGCCGTATAAAAATCAATACACAAATACCACAATTTCGAACGCTTGCTCCTTAAATAGCACCTTTATAGCAACATGACTATTAATACTTATAACAATACTTATATAGCATTATAAGTCTTCTAGAAACATGAATAATGCAAGTATACCATAATATTAGATTACATAACAACTATACTTACCATTGGGTGCGTGCACTCAGACACCCGGATGGGCGTGGCAAAAGGAGGGCGCGGACGAGTTTAGTTCAGCGCAAATGGAAAGCGGTCGCGTCGCGTGCGATAGCATTGGAGCGTAGTATTTTCACCCATAAGTACTAGCTTCACTTATGAACACATTCACGGAGTTTCTTTTTCGCGCAGATCTGAATGTTTGTTATTCTAATGTCGCTGTCTTCTGGTTTCTTATTAGTATTGATTATAACTCACCCACTCAAGCATACGCTTCGACAATTACTCCTACCTTCACGTCTGTAAATACTTCCTCTAAGCTGTTGAGGATAGAAAATACGGGTTTTTTGGAAATGGCATCTCGTTTTAACATCTCGATAAATTAATTTCTTAGCTATCCTCCCTCTGCATATCCGCTTTATCGCACATCAGAGTCGTTGGTAATTAGAATTCAGAAAACTTTTAATTGCAGATACATCTTGAAGAAGGATATTAATGAAAGGATGAAAAAAAGAAGGATAGGCGCCCACGGGTACTTGAAGATTTATTCCGATATTACAATGTGATCCAAAATGTGATATAACTGTTTCTAATTATTATCATGAAACATCAGCATGTAAAAAAGTGGTATAATTTCCGACATTGAATTTTCGGATTTGTTGATTCAAGGAGCCGGCGTTTTATAAGACTCAGAAGATATAGATATATCTGAGAATATAGATGGTAATAGACTCCCCAAAGAAGTAAAGGGTGAACAAGGCAGTTGAATACAACTTAAAATGAGACAATCTAAAAGATTGCGCAGACCGGAATATTTGATCAGAAAAAGAAACGCCGCTTGTCTTTACACATAGGATACTAATACCAATCAAATCAAGCACAGTACTATTCAAGGTTATAAACAATATGGTTTGTGGATAAGTAGTAAACATAACTTACTCTTAAAGCACTGGCTGTTTACGATTAACCGTTGCGAAATGTTTGGCACATAGATCGACTCCTTACACAAGGAAGAGTTTACGCCGAAATTGAACAATAAAGGCACATCACCCAGAATTTATTTTTATGTCTTGTTTATTATAATGATTAATATTAATGTAAGCTGTGTATTATTCCTCAAAGCACATTGGCTGTTACCGCAATATATCTATAGGATGGTTCAGCAAACATGCATGCAAATTGCCGCCATATCTTATGGTATCTATGGCATACAGTGACTATTACGCAACCTTGCACTTGCAACCGTCGGCCCCTCTCTGGGATAAACACTACGTATTAAGTTCAAATAATACTGTGTAACACTGAACAAGGCTATCACTAGTTAACAAGTAGCCCCGGTCAACGGATTTAGTTAAACATAATACTAAAATGTATAATAGGACTATATTACACTAACATCAATCCATATTACATAGTTATCAATTACACAAGTGCATACGATGAATATAAAAGCGCTATACAAAGATAGTAGAATATAAAAACTAGTTTACTAAGCCTAAAAACTAATTCCAAACTTGATTGTTTTATAACATACCTTTCAATTGGATGGATAACGGTCTTCGATTAAAGTAGTTGACGGTTCAAATAGCAACTGTCGTACTCACCATACATGCACTGAAACAAAGTTTATAGATAATTAGTAGCTAACTAAGCTAATGTAGAACCTAGCCCTTAAGTCAACTAAATGAATATGGGAACATTTAGGCCAAAACTACATATAAATATGAACAATAGTAACACCCTAAATCGTTAACATACTAGTTAGTGCCATAAGTGTGCAGTTACACACATATACATATACAGTATGCATATGTGAATGTTAACACACTTACCTGCTGCAAATACCTGGAGATAATATAGATAGGAAATCACAGAATAAATGGATTTAATTCGATTAGTTTTCAAGTCGAAGTCTGAAATATTGTCTACATAAAAAAGTTAAAACATAGAAGTCAGCTCAGAACGTCTACACTACCTATGTTGTAGCTGCGTACAATGTTATGATAATTGTTAATGAGAGCTACTAATAAGTGCCTATAGCAAAGTTCTTAGCACATGTGGAGCTCTGGAGAGCCTGCATGGGATCTTAGTGCTATACTATACATCAAGAGGTAGTTTAAACAAAGTATCATGCAAGAATAAAGCAAGATATCCTAGTGGCCTAAAAAATTGGATGCTTAAGGTTCGTTATAGGACCACACATAGACAATTATGATCTATAGGTCATATTCATTAGTGTACTGTGGATGTTCCTATACCTCTTCATTCCCTCTACCACTATGTAACGGGGTTTAATAAGAAAAAGGATAAGATTACTACTCTATAAATAGTTAGACCACTATATATTCAATAGATTAATTTTATATATCAATTTAATTTGTAGTTGGAGGTCTAGCAATATATATCCTCAACCTATTGAGCTAAGAATAAGTCCTTAACCAGCTCAAGCCAAGACCACCCATTTTTCAGATTTCCTATAAGGTTCATTACCCCATATAACTATAACAGTACCTGTACATTGGTTAACCATTACATCAGTTAGTTTATACTACCACATAGTCTATAAGCCATTTCTATTCTGTCACACGGGCCTAGTACAAAAAGTACTAAAGTTTATACCTTAGGCACTACTTTAAACTCTTTAATCTGTCTCTTAATACCATCTTGTTTCCTCTAGCTGTCAATTTTACTTAAGTACATACCCCAACCTTTCTCCTCATTAAAAATAAAATAATAATATCTTTAATACCTTCTTCTATTGGCCACCGATTACCTCCCCTTTTTCATTTCTCCCTTTTCTTTTTTCTTTTTCTTTTCTCTTTTACTTATGATCCCATCACCCACTAATTTATATTCAAGAGGGCCATACCTCTTAATAATAATAGGGATTAGCGCTGACGGGGTTATGCAAGTCAAAAATGGCAAGAGGAGTCAGTTTTTGACGCCCCCAGCGCTAGTCGTCCTGTAAAAAGGACAAACAGGGAGTGCCGACCCCTGGGCAGCAGCCCTGCCAAACCTTCGGGAGACTCCTCTCTGCGTTTTGGGTTTGACCGCTCAAGCGCTTAGATTCTAGGTCAAAAACAACAAAAAGCAACGCGGGATACCATGGTACTACAAAATTTACAAAGGTAAGAGGGGAGGCCGGTTACTATATACTTAAAGATTTCGGAAACAATAATATAGGAGGTACTTGCGGAAGACGTTGCAGGGTTTGTAACATTACTGATATAGCTAATACTATTGTGTCACATGTGACAGGCCTGCATATAAAAACATACAAGAAAAAGAATACTATTAGGTTGGCTAATAAGTAATGGCCGTTTTTTTCAATTGAAAAATTTGTTCGAAAAGTGAAACGTTTTGCAAGCAAGTTATATATCATCTGATAGGAAACTTCTCGTAGTATAAGAATATCAAAAAGCTTTGGTTGAGGATATAGTTTTTGTGAATTTTTTAGTCGTTGAAGTTGGAAGTGAAGTCGGCGAAAATTAGCATCTTCGACAACTGCCTCTATTTAGAAATTTCATGCTAATAGTTGAATTAATTGAATTTGAATTTGATATTCTAATACTACGAGAAGTTTGCTATTAAACGATATTAAGCTTGCTTGCAAAACTTTTACTTTATTGAAAGCATTTTTCAATTGAAAAAAACGTGCCATTACTTGTTAGCCAGCCCCCATAGCTTATAGCCAGCCCTATAGTGGGCTGGCTAATAAGTAATGGCCGTTTTTTCAATCGAAAAATTTGTTCCAAAAGTAAAAAGTTTTGCAAGCAAGCTTAACATCGTTTAATAGAAAACTTCTCGTAGTATTAGAATATCAAACTCAATTCAATTAATT